CTCATTGAAATTATGAAATAAAAAGTGGGGGTCACCGTGCTCGTTTCTGAGGAAAGGAGCATATATTTCGCTATCGAGCTTAGTTTGAGGGAAATCTCGCACGCGCTCATGTACATGTGCGCGCGCTAATGAGGCGAAAATCGTGCGCAGTAGTACGATCTGGCGTTTTTTCTCTTCGGCTAACGGTGAAAGGAACGCCTGATCGCATCGCGAAAAAGGTTATTCCATGTCTTCCATCACTGAGTTTGTTTCTCCCAATTATTTTCTGAACTGTTCTTTTTTTTCCTGGCTTGAACCTGGAACTTTCTAACGCAGTTTCGATTTTCTTCTATTATGATACAAGCTAGTCTTCATCCAGAACTATAATTTTTCAGATATATCTGAAACTTAAACTCTTGGACTGTGCCCCAAAATTTACGTAAAAAATCGCCAAATGTTCGTGCCGCAAAATACAAATTTTCCAAAGTTTTTAGATTAACGCGTTGCAAAAATTTTATTTTGTGAGGTAGTTCCCCGAAAAATACTTGGCGAACAGACTCTCAACAAAGTTCACTTGCTTGTACAACTGTACATCGTTCAGATTCCCTTCCCCTCCCCTCCCTCGATGGAAGTTATATCCGCTAGGCCAATCAAAACACTGTAACGCGGATTCGATTGCGGAACTTTTGGAGTTAAGAGAGAATTTACACTTAAAGCATCTTCCCCGACCACTTATCGCTTACGAATGAGCAAGAATTTCGTTATATTTTTTCTCACGTGACCTTTAATAAAAGTGAACTTTTATTTTAGGCAGTTTAAATTTCCTCACTGATGGTTCTAAGTTTTGTAATACCGTTTCACCTTCTACGGCCTCGCTTCCTGTTGCTGATCGTTTAATCAAATTCTCCATATCAAGAGATTTTTATTTTCATTCTTTGCTGGGAGTTAATTCATGGCAGGCAGCGTGAAAGTATGGATCTGAACGCGATTTATTCGGTGTTTTTAACATGGAAAGTGGTGAGAGTGCTTCAACTTTAGAGAGAATAGCTGAGATCCCCAAGGAGTCCATTGAAAGTCGCGAAACCGCAGCTGAGTTCAACAACATCCAAGATGGCGGCCATGTTGTTTCCTCTGTGGTCGCAACTACACTTCAACAAAATCCGCTAGGACTCTTTGTTACTCCGGCATCGGTCGCTCAAGTTGGTAAGTAAAGCTATCTATCCTTTCCTAAAGCTTCTGAACAAGATAATTTTAAACTGACAGAGGGAGAGTGTCTTGCGATAGCATAATCGACCAAACAGCTGATTTCATCTTGAAATTAACGAAATAACTATCAGATTAGCTTTGATGGCTAAGCATTTTTCCATTGTACTCTTTATAGTTTTACATACAGCTTGATAGCTGTTTTGAAAAACATCGAGAGATCAAAGTCAAATAACCTTTTTATTATTATTACAAGCTTGTGCCTGCCGTTTTGTTTTGGAGCGCTTGCAGAGCGGTATTGATGAATCCCTAGTTGATATATTTGAGTGCATTTTAAAGATCTTGTCTTCTTACAAAAAAAAAGACTTGAAATCCTGTGGACTCAGTTGAATCAATGAACTGAATGTGTATGCAGAATAAATTATTGTTCACGCCCAGTGGGTTGTAATATGCTTCATAATTATTGTGCTTAATTCCTATAGAAAACACCCTGTGAAAATTGGCACATGCTCAAAACTGCTAGAAACACTAAATTTTGAGCACAAGCAGCTGACAGTGTTTATGTAATAATGAAGGAACAAAGAGAATTTACATTTTGATAATCAAAATACAGACGAACCTTTTCTAATGGCTACCTCCCTGCAACAGGCACCTCTCTACAGCGGCCACAATTTTTGGTCCATACAGTTACTGATTTTAACCTCTCTACAACAACCACCTCTCCACAACAGCAATGGCCACTAAAACATGTCGCAACTGCCAAAATAAACTCTTGACAGTTATCCAGTGACTGGCGTATGGTGCATACAAAACTTCGTTTTTTATTATAAAAGGTCACCAAGCTTGATCTGTAACACTTCATTGGTCTCTGTTTCTGTTTAGTTTCTGTTTCATTGAAATATTTTGATTGTGTTACGTATAGTTTATAATACTAAACTGAGCATTTTTTAAGAAAAGAAATGTTTCACCCCTGAAAAGGTGTCATGTTACACTCCTACCTCCCCATAATGGCCAGCTCTCTACAACAGGCCACTTTCCTCTTTCCCCAAGGTGGCTGTTGTAGACAGGTTGGACTGTACACGAGTTTGACTTTCCTTTCATTTTCTCACTGACAGTGTTTCCTAATTGAAATAGGAAATGTTTTGTCTGTGTTTCTATTATTACAGTTTGGAATAACTTTCACGTATAGCGCTGTTGCATTGTAGAATAGTCTTCCTACAGATGTAAGGTTATTCAAGATGTTAGGTACATCTAACACAAGGCTTTATCACTACAGTTTTTATAATTTTTGGTCAGTGTAAAATGCAGACTGTGGACAGTGTAAAATGCAGACCTAGGGTAAAATGCAGAGAATGGCAGATCAGGGGTAAAATGCAGACTGCAGGCTACAGTCGTTTTAAGTTTTTATCAACGGTATCATTTTCATTATCGAGTACTTACCATAAACAGGGTTATTCAGGTTAATTGTGGTGAAAAGCTGCACTCCAGTTGGCCAGAACATCACTCAGGTTAGCCTGAATAATGCTCCAGTTAGCCTGGTAACAGATAAAATTAAGTTAAAATTTCCTCAGTCTGCAGTCTGCACCTTACCCCTGGTCTGCAGTCTGCATTGCGTAGTCTGCGTTTAACACTGGCTGGTTTTTATTCGTCTTATCGAAAACTTCTCTCCTTCTAGTACCAGCAAGTAATGGCTTGGTCCAGAAAAACTTGCCTGCTCTTCAGAATACCACCAAACCAATTCCTGCCAGCGTGTTCTCATACAGGTTTGCTTCTCCGACAAGCAACCAGACTCCATACTACGTCTCATCAGACATAGTGTTGAGGTGGGTGGTCCTCACTGTTTAAACTAGTCCTTCACAAGTCTTTATACATGGCATGGCAGTTACTAGAACTGTACCACTTGGGAAATATTGAGCAATAAAGCAAAGAATCATGGGGAGAGGGAGCGAGGGTTGGTAGGGTTATAGACCTCCCTATTTTTTGCTAGAGTTGATTTTTTTAGGGCTCCAGATCGAATGAATAATGTATGAATTTTGCCACTTGGAAGTTTCAAAATGGTGTAACAGTGGCCCCTAATGTGGTTGCCTTTATAGCCAGATTTTTTTAGCTGCTCTACTACTTTAAAATGGTCTCTGTGGTCCCTGTAAAATGGTTATTGAGAACAGAGGATGACCAACTTGCGCCAAGTATCTCATATTGCTGGAGCTTATCCCAGTTTCTGTAGCTTTAAGTGATAAGGTGTTCATCTACTCCCCCTAGAGGGGATGCTAATCCATGGCAGGGTTAGTACCCTCAAGCATTGAATTTGCCAGTGTACTTATTTCTACCCCTTGGTGAGGAGACATTTTGAGAGTAAAGCATGTTTAAAGTGTGAATGCAAATTCATGCTGTATGTTGTCATGAATGCATGTCTTATAATACCTAAGAGTGGTGGTCAACAAGGTGAATCAAATTTAGTCAAATGTCTTACATTAAACTCTTTGAAAGGAATGAAGTGATGATTGATAAGTCACTGAGAAGTATCACATCAGAACATTGTATTGTCCCAAGCTTGCCAACATTCCATCATTAGATTTCTCATCTATTAAAGGCTGATTGTTTGGATTGAAAACTGCAGAGAGTGAGATGGTGTTGTTGACATCGGATATGTTGTGTTAAATGCACAAGCATTATTAAATTCTTATAACAAAATTTAAATTTTTGCTTTAATTTTTGGAATAGTGGAGGCATTGCCCAGCAGACTAGAAGAAGGATTGTGCATAATGAAGGCAAGTGATAGGAAGGAAACCTGTTCTGCAATGTAATTTGCTAGGTACATAGGTGTGTAATTGAAAACAGAAAAAAAAAACTGTATATTACCACTATCCTCAACTTTTTCACTCCGAACATTTATATTCTATTTCTTATACAGCATAATAAACAGAACCATGTCAAAGTAGTGCTTGGTAACTTTCATTTAAATGGTTGCACACCAGGGTTTCATCCACAGACTTCAAAGATTCAATTTTGTCTAGGACACAAAGGGGTAAAGGATTCTCTTTTGCAAGACCAATTTTTTTGTGAGAATCTGATGTTAATGCTATAACAGAGAAATCACAAGTTTTAGTGGTATTTAGTTCCTTGTTTGTCTACAGCCTTTGTGATGGTTGATTTGGTACATATTCACCCTTGTGGTCTTATATTGTTACAAGTTCTTACTGATAACCACATGATAGTACAATTGATCAAACTTGTGATATCAGCGTTATCACTCCTAAATGGAAGGTTTTTTGACAGCCCCAAAGCTGATTTAAACCATTTACTTATTGTTAGGGTTTTTAAGAAAAGTAGCATGTTAAATTTTATCATGTCTTAAAATTATATCTGTTTCTATTTAGTTGAACGGAGACGGAAGGACAAAATTAATAATTGGATATTAAAGCTAGCTGATGTAGTGCCACAATGCAGCTGGGGAAAGCAGGTATTTAATTTGATGACTGTTTTATTTTGTAAAAATAACGTTTATGCGGCAAAATATAGTTAAGGCTAAGTTAAACTCAAAACAACTGCTGGTTAGCGGTTTCTCTCCTTGACGCGGGGTGGCCTGTGGGTTCTGCAGGGAGGCCATGAATTTGCAGTCCTCCTGTTGAGGTCAGGCCATTTTGTTTAACGTTCATGTTGCTTCCGAAGGCTTTGCTCCAACCCATCCCTCCCCAAGGCAAGTATGGGGTACTGTACATATTTTATTCCACTGTAGTCGTCTTTCAGTGTGATGATACTTGGTGGTTGCCACTCACTCTCTCCTGTACTCTCAGCTCATGCAACATGGTTCCATCAGCCTTACAGACACCTTACCCACACTTAGCTATTGTTGATTAGTTAAATTATTAAAGCAGGCACAACCTAAGGACTGGAAAATTGTGGGTTACACAGAGTTAACAAACTTTTAAACCTACATGTACATATTGACTGAAACTACAGGTACAAACAACAAAAAGGTTTTGTACTGACTAGTGCTGAGCCTGGCGCACAAACGAATGATGAAAGGTCTTAGCTACACAATAATGTGGAACATAAGAAACACGACTAGACTTTTTATCTGTTGTAATTGAGTATAATTTCATTTTATTCTTTCTCCAGAGTAAAAACATTGTTCTTGAAAAGACAGTTGAGTACATCAACCAAGTCAACACTCAGCTCAAAGAACTGTCTGATTTACAACAGAGAGAACAAAAGCTTGGTAAGGGAGTGCCACCATGTGTTCTTTACTAGATAAACTGGATTTATGAAGATGATGTATTAATGAAAAGTATGTTCCTTTGCACCAAATGTCTACATGTGTGCACTTTAATTTCATGACTCCTAAAGGCCTAAACACTACCCAAAGTGATGAAAAGAAAAAAAGGGATAGAAGAGCGCAAAAAAGAGAAAAGAGAGTGGAGGAAAATAAAAAGACTGACATTGCTTTGATTGTTTATGTTGTCTACTTTCAATGGCAAGAAAGAAGATACCTGTGCTAGGGTGAAGTTTT